ATTCATTTGCTGAAACTTTCTTTGGTCTTTCAGGAGAGGAACATTTCACGTAAAATCTTGATCGGGGATAATCAAAGTTCCATGGTTGTCGATCTTGCTTGCAATCATAGCGACAGAGAAACTCTGGCTTCAGATTCTATTGAAATTCAGAGTGTAGTGATCCCAGGTAAGCGTGCATCCACTGTTATTTACCTTGTGATTCTTCTTTTCTTCTTCACTTTTTTTCAGCATCCAGGTTCTGCATTTAATGATTTGATGATTTTCAGTTATAGGACCTATAAACATGAAGAAAGGAGGGCCCCGTGGAACTCTACATGAGTTCTGCAAGAAGCATCTCTGGCCAGTGCCTACTTTCGAAACCCTGGAAGAGAAATCTCGGTATTCATAACTTGTCTCATTTTGATTCGGATTTCTCTCTGCTCCCCTGAGTCCTGGCCCATCTTGAACTGATAACTTTCTTGTGTCTGCGCAGAACTGCGTTTGAATTCACAGATGGCGATGAGAAGCGGACTAGCTTCAGCAGTTTCATATCGACTGTAACCCTAAGGATACCCAATCGTGAGGCTGTACTGTATACTGGAAAAGCCAGGCCTGACAAAAAGAGCTCCTTTGACTCTGCAGTAGTGGAACTGCTCTATGAGCTTGAGCGCCGCAAGATCGTCACCATACAAAAGTAAAATAATTTGGACTCTTAAATAAGCTAATGCTATATAAAACACATTTAGTGATCTCGAGAGGATCTTGGAAACTCCCAAATAATTGACTCTTAGCAAGTTACTAATATGGAAGATGTGTCTTCTAGGTTTATATTGTTTTGTATCTCTGATATATCTGATAATTATTGTGACTTGATGATAAGCTCGTCGACATTACTACAGTTGAAGCTACTAACACTTTTCAGCATCTCGAAGCTATATCTGGATCCGAGAAACTCAATCCGTTTGAATACAATCTTCCCACCTTTCACCACCGAGGCTCTGAGGTTTTCACCGTGCCTCGAGTTGGTGTGAATTGCTGCTTTGATTTCTTCCTCCGACACGTTTTCCTGCAACAGTACATACAAAACAAAACAAAAACTGTATTAAAAATTGTTTTTGCCAGTGAAGTCGCGAGACACACAGTGTGTATTAAGACACTATACCTGATAGAATGCATAAATGTGTTGGAGAATCTGCTGACAGGTAAAGCCGGTTTCGCTGAAATACGACCTGGAAGAAGGTCCCATCTCACCATACCAATCAATTGGAAGTAGTAACGATATAAAATGGTTTTTGTACCAATTCCAGTCTCTCACTGTCATGCCAAACACACAAAACGATATAAGCTTTTATATACCTAAACGGATAGCTTGGATCTCAAGTTACGGCGACGAGGGAGAAGAGGCATTGAAAATGGGAACCTTTCTGTGAGCAGTCTCATGGAGTGAGTGAATGAATCATTGGTTTTAGCATCAAAGGAGCCCGATGCAAAGTTTCTGTCGTCATATTCATTATCTATGAAAACATTAGCTGTTGATGTTGGTTCAGAGATCGTCCAACACACAGAATCCAGGAGGCTGCTCAGATTTGACGGCTGGATCAGCGACTTGCTCATCTGTTTGAAGAGAAAAATCAAATTAACAAAAGTGCGGTTTACAAAAAGCTCCGTTGCTGAGGACGAAACATAGAAAGAGATGCAGTGCCTTTGCGTCGCGGTTCGTGACAGCCTTTTTGGCGGATTCTACAATCTTCTGCCTTTCTTTACATGTCGTCGTCCTCTTCGCTAACATCGAGGCGTCTTGAGGAACACATTCCCTGCAGGATTCCTGTAAGAATGCAAAATCAAAGGATTAGGGACTTCATGGGATACTTACTCCACGGGCAAAAAACAAGGAGAAGATACCTTCATCAGATTCTCAAGCATTGTCCTAAGATCTCTGGCCAAATCGGCTGACATTCGGACAAGAGTCTGCGTTGGTTTCTCTTCCAACATCTTGTGAATCCAGAGTGGCTAAAACAGGCAACATTTTACATAAGCAAGCAAAAAGAATAATTAATGTGCAGCGTTATCTCACAAGATGGAAAACGAGTTCTTATTAGCTAACCGAAACAAGATCGCTCGAGTGACCAAGATATCTCTGGACAGAAGCAGCTTCACATACAACATGACTTGCATTACAACCATTGAGTCATGAGCTTTGCACCTGTGAAACCTGTAAGACTTGGAATGTAGAGCTCTGATACCATTGATGAACTATCGGGATCGATGAAGACTGAATAGCCTGATAAAGCCAAGTCCTTGCTTCCTGTGAACTCTGTTCCTTGAACAGTGCACAACTTAACTGCAGCCAAATCACAACGGAGTTAATCACAGTGTCGCCCAAACTCATTATACGCACCACTTCTGCGAACGCTGTCCACAAACCAGCCGAGGGTAACGATATGCAGACTATCTTTTCTCCCATGTTTCAAGGTATGTTCAAACTTGCGTCCGTCGTAGCTATTAGCGATGAGAAATGAAGATCAAACTAGAGAGAGAAAGTTTGTTATGAAAGAAGATATTTCTCATTATTGATAAACCAATCTCTATACTAAACCAACTCTAATCTGAACCGATATATACATTGAACCGAACTTTATATAATCCAATAGT